CAAAGTTGAATAAGTTTGGTAAAGGATTTTTGCCCTGTTATTTCGTTAGTATATTTCTACAAAATGTTTGTTAAAATCAGGGTTAACGTGTTTTTTAGCCTCCCTTTGATTTAAGAACCAATTAATTGCACAATTTCACATATAAGTCTAGCTGCTTGCAAGAAGTAGTCTGATCAAGTTTGAATTTCAGATTAACTAGATTATGTCTAGAAGTAGCTTGAACTCGTTTTCGCAAGGGTAACGCACCCTGTCCGAAGTCCTCTACCATAGCATCCATGATAATTTCCAGCGTCGGACTATTTGATGGTGCATTCTTAAACGTTTTGCCCACAAGAATGGTAAAGCTTACTGACACTGCCGGTAAAATGTCTGGGAATGTACCAGGCATAAACAAGATGAAAAAAGGTCGAAAAGAAGATGAGGATGAGGAGGTTTCGAAAATGAAGCGAAGACGTTTTTAATGATAGTAGTCAGCTCGAGGAGACAATTACAACTTGAAGTCTCGACGTTTCACGTGATTGGGTCATAGAAATCGGACATTGTGACCAAATGGGCTAATAATCCACTTGAGATGCAGCAGGCGACCAAAAAGGATTTCCAGTTTGCTCAGGGTACAGGCGCTTAATCAAAAAGATGTGGGAATGTCATGCCTAATATCCGCAGGCGTGGGAATCAGAGCCTAGGCGCTCTGAAGATAAGGCGACCTTTTACGTGCTACTGAAGGCTTGAGAAATAGCATCTGAAGTGAAAGTACGCTGGGGCTGGAACCGAGTGAAATCGGTCAACAAGAAAGAGAATAAACGGACCCACGGGCCCATGAAAAAGATCCGTACAGAAAACTAGAGCAGGATCTGCCACTTAAACGGAAGGGGAGCAAGGTAAACAACAGGTGTGATGACACCACGATAAATTCGCTAAAAGGGCACATCGCTTGTAGAATAGAAACATCAGAAGTTGTGATAGGACGAGGGCGAGACTAGAGGGTAGGAAATGGATATAGGGACCAGGACAAAACGAGGAGTGATAGCATAACCGTCTCGACAGAAAGTTGGTTAAGAGATTTACTTCACTTGTCTCTTTGACGATTTATAGCCTGGTTTGGTGAGAATAGCAAGACTCACTGATGATGCCAGCTACGATGCCGGCGAAACGTCTGGGAATGTACCAAGTTCACGGTCCGACTCTGGAGATTATCATGCATACTATGGACTTCGGACAAGGTGCGTTCATCTAGATCTTCCTGATAATATAGGCAAGTTGCGAAACCAAGGTAAAACAATTTCCATAATTATTACTATCTAGGCAAAAGTTAAATGACATAGTATAAGGTTATTCCTCAAGCGAAACGACTTGCCTGTCGGCTTTGGCTTCAATTGCTACTTCCACGGAAGATCCAGGAAGTATCTCAAAGCGATGAGGTGTTATGCTTAGTTTCAAAACTGTGCCAAATTTCTGAAATATAACATTACAAAAGTTGCCATAGCTTATAAACTGAGGAGTTACGAGAGATGGCTCAACTTCAAAATTACCATATGCGCTTTATTTATGTATACATAAAATATGAATTTTAAAATTTCATTAATTTTTAAAATTATGCTCAAATCATCACGTATTATAGAGTAATTTGTTTATCCAAAATAGCCACCCTACCGAAAGGAGAAATCTACCGTGCAAATGCGAACGTTTCAGACGAAAGAAACAATACCCCTTCAGAAGTGGGTTTAACTCGTTATCTCAACTTGGTCTTGTTGTCAAGGCGACTTAGTAGAACGCACCTAGTCCGAAGTCGTCTGCCATAGTAGTAGTCATGATTCTCAGCATCAGACAACTACTATGGCAGACGACTTCGGTCTAGGTGCGTTCTACTAAGTCGCCCTAACAACAAGACCAAGTTGCGACAACGTGGTCAACCCAATTCTATAAATCGAAAGGAGACTGTGACCATACCAGAGGCCACAACATCTTAGTCTTCATATCTTCAATATCCCTTCACTTTAACGTAGACTAAAAATTGTTTCACGGACATTAATCATTGCAACCAGTCGAATAAGTAGTATATGGACTCTAAAAAATCAAACGTTATGATATCATACGGATACCAGCAAGAGGATTGATAAACGTTCTGATTATGTGCTGATATTCACATAGAATGCGTATTCCGTGTTAGACGAAGGTGAATGGATTTGCTTATTATTATGATATTTTGAAATGTAAAAGAAACACAATCAGCTAAATTCTATTTCTATTATTTTATTTACACTCATTATTTTGAGTCCTGGTAACAAATATCAGATTTCCTCGCATTTCAACGCTCGCATATTCAATTACTTCTTGAAAATGTAAATCAGAAGGCATTTCATTGGCTTTTCTCATAAAGATACAACTTACCTATTAGTGAAGTCGCAAATATCAGGGAATCGAGTTTTCTAGTAAGCATGAGCCATCGGGCACCTAATAATTTGGAAACGCTTGCAAATAATCATCAGGTAGTTACTAACTATATTGTGGATATATAGCACACAAAAAACGATAAATATCAAATGACTTGTCTGCTTGTTGAAAGACGAAACAGGAATGTTTCTTACCCTTCGTAAACTATTCGATTATTCAGTAAGTTATAATACTTACCGGAGCCGGGAAGGTACACGAAGTCAACAAGAAACTTATTCCTAGCATGGTTGCCTCCAAGTCCTGTAATTGCATCGAATTTAGTCGCTATACCAATAATAAATAAAACGTTTTATAATATGAGATGTATTCACTATATTTCGTTTAAGGTGATGGAGGATTAGTAGAAGAATTTTCCCACAATTATATGAGTAAAGTTGACGTTTCCATTGAATTTTACATAGTCTTGCTTTCCCAAAAGTTGTTCTCATCCAGGCTGAAGTGGACTGCAGTTTCGACCTCGCATCGGTCTTATCAGCAGCCCCAGCGAGAGTCGAACCGTGATAGTGTAGAATCGGAG